CACTCATCGAAGCATTTATTGTTCTTTTCTGAATGAAATTAATGCTATTTGGAACATTACTACAGCAGGAATTTTTGTTCAATAATATCTAATGACTTGAACTAAAAGAATATACAAGTGTCCTAGAAGGAAATACTTGGAACTTCAATATAATAGAATCACACAGAGGACAGAGTAAACTTTTTAAAACCTCAATATCCAGTGTTTTACTGTACTCAAACTAAAAATGCTAAAGTTTGAAATATATCAGAATACCTCAATTCAATCAATATAATTAAATCTTCCTTACTTTGGGTAAAAAAATTAACATTCTATAAACCTGGTGGTTTTTCACCAACCTTCATATATGCAACATTTTTTACTTTTTTTCACCCTTTCTGCCAAACTTAAGTGTTTCAGACAACCATAACATAAGCCCTATCAACTTTATCAAAATGTTTTAGATGAGATTTAGCAATACATAAATCTCATGATGGGCTGGGCATGGTGGCTCATGTCTGTAACACTAACACTTTGTGAGGCCGAGCCAGGCAGGTCACTTGACGCCAAGAGTTCAAGGCCAGCCTGGTCAACATGGTGAAACCCCATCTCTACTAAAAAAACACAAAAATTAGCCAGGCATGGTGGTGAATGCCTACAATCTCGGCAACTTGGGAGGCTGAGGCACAAGAATTGCTTGAGCTTGGCAGGAAGAGGATGCAGTGAGCCAAGATTGTGCCACTGCACTCCAGCCTGAGTAACAGAGTTAAGACTCCATCTCAAAAAAAAAAAAAAAAGCTAAAGATTAATTGATATACAGGTATTCACATTTATAACTATGTTGACTTCTTTGTCAGCCTATTTAACCACCAAAGGCTTCAGCAAGAATTACCTTCATATTTAGGCAAAATAATAACAATGATTTATTTCTGTGTAAAGAATAAGAATAGAGTATTTCCAGCTTTTGTTTTTTTGGGGCATATAACTTAACACCAATCTTCCTTACCGACTAATGTCTTCTTTATTATACATAAAAGCCATATCTAAAAATTCCTTTTGAGTTTATTTCTGAATTCTCACATCTCTATCTTTGGTCTATATGCCTATTTATATACACTGTACCAAGCTATTTTAATTAATGAAGCATTATAAAGTATTTGATACATGGTAGACCTCTGCTTCTAATTCCTCTTCTTTTTTAGAATTCCCATGGTTATTCTTACATGCTATTTTTCCATTAAAACTATGGAATATGTACACCTAGTTTTTTTAAAATATTATTGGCATTTTTACTGTGATCACACATTTTTAGATTAATTTAGAGAGAACTGATCTCATTATAATGCTGAGTCTTTCCATCTAATAATAGGATATATTCCTTAATTATGTCTGAGTACACAATTCTTTTTCTTTTTCTTTTTTTTTTTTTTTTTT